CTATAATGCTGTTGATATGTTCCAAGTCAGGATGGAGTGTGCCTTAACAGGGTGCTCACAGTGTTCCCATGCAACTGCAAGCCTTTCCCTTTAAAGCTTGGAAGATGCTGTTGAAAGAGCCTTGATAAGTTTCAACTATGCACCTAATCGATGGCATTTTGTGTTGGTAATAGAGGAAGCTAATGTTGTAAGTGGTGGATAAAATGCCAGTCAAACAGATGATTTTGTTTTGGATTTTGTTGAACTTGTTGATTATTGTTCAGAGCTACACTCATCCACACAGACAAGTGGAAAGCAATTTATCATATTTCGTTCTTATGTCTTATTGATTATCAGGAGATGAGTTACTTGCCACAGACTCCTAGCTTCTGACCTGCAGTTTTAGCAACTGTATACATATGGTTGGTCCATTTCACTTTCTGATCAGTGGTAACCCCTAGGATATTGAAAATGAATGTTCAATGAATTAATACCATTGAAATTCAATGGTCAATGGTTAGATTCTGTCTTGTTGGGGATGACCATTATCTGGCACTTGTGTGGCATGAATGATACTTACCACTTATCAGCCCACACCTGGAGGTTTTGCTGCATAAAGATATGGACTGCTCCAGCATCACATAAATTATACTAAACATTGTGCAATCATCAGTGATCATCCCCACCTCTGATCTTATGAGGGAAGCTGAAGATGGTTTGTGCAGGACACTACCATGAGAAACTCCAGCACTGATGCCTTGAAACTGGATGATTGATGTCCTACAAACACACCTATCTTCTTTTTGCGCTAAGTTTGTCTCCAATCAATGGAACGCTTTCTGCCTGAATTCCTGGGGATCCTTGATAACACACTCAGTCAAATGCTGAATTGATATCAAAGGTAGTCATGCTCAGCTCACCTCTTGGTTCCAGCTTTTTGATCATGTTTTGATCAATGCTGTATTGAAGCCAAGAGCTGAATGGCCCTGGCAGACTCAAATGGATTTTCATTGACCAGGCGCTGCTTGATAGAATAGCCAATGACTGCTACCATTGCCATACTAATAATTGAGAGTTGACTGATTAGCAGTAATTGGCCGCCTTGATTTGTCCTTTCCTTGTGCACAGGACATAGCTGGACAATTTTCCACATTGCCACGTAAATGCTAATTGTAACTATATTGGAGAAATTCAGCTAGAGCTGTGGCTATTTCTGGAACATTAAATACTACTAAAAACCAAAAGAACTGCCAATGCTGGAAATCAGAAGCAAAAACCGAAATTGCTGGAAAAGCTCAGCAGGTCTGGCAGCATCTGTAGAGAAAAATCAGACTTAATGTTTCAGGTCCAGTTCTGAAGAAAGATCACTGGACCCAAAACATTAACTCTGATTACCCTCCACAGATACTATTGATTGATTGATTGATTTATTGTTGTACTGAGATACAGTGAAAAGTGTTATTTTGCATGCTATAAGGTCAGATTGTACCATACAAAGTATATCAGAGTAGCAGAACAGAGTGTTGAGTGTGGTGTTACAGCTTCAGAGAAGGTGCAGAGAGAGAGAGAGATCAGAATTAATATTTGAGAGGGCAATTTGAAAGTATGATAACAGGGGGGAAGATGTTGTTCTTGAATCCATTCATACTTTTATATATTCTGCCCAATGGAAGAGGGTGGAAGAGAGTATAACTAGGGTGGGAGGGATGTTTGATTATGTTGGTTGCTTTTCCGAGGCAATGGGAAGTATAGATGGAGTCAATGGAAGGAAGGCTGGTTTGTGTGATGGACTGGGCTGTGTTCATGACTCTCTATAGTTTCTTGCGGTCTTGGGAACAGCAGTTGCCACACCACACTGTGATGCATCCAGATAGGATGCTTTCTATGGTGTATCTATAAAAATTGGTATGAGTTCTTGTGAACGCGCCAAATTTCCTTAGTCTCCTGACGAAGTAGAGATGTTGTTGTGCTCTCTTGACCATCACATCATTGTGGGTAGACCAGGACAGATTGTTGGTGATCATCACTCCCAGGAATTTGATGCTCCCAACAATCTCCACCTCAGCACCATTGGTGCAGACAGGGCCGTGCCCTCCACTCTGCTTCATTTGCTAACATTGATGGAGACATTGTTGTCTTAACAGAATGCCACTAAACACTCAATCTCTTTCCTGTGTTCTGTCTCATTGTTTGAGATCGAACCTACAACAGTGGTGTCTTTAGCAAGCTTGTAAATGGAGTTGGGGCAGAATTTGACCACAGAGACATGAGTGTACAAGGAGTACAACAGGGGGCTGAGTACACAGCCCTGCAGGGCGCCAGTGTTGAGAAATATGGTGGAGGAGGTGTTGTTGCCTATTCTTACTGATTACTTACTGGTCCATAGGAGGCAGAGGATCGAGTTATAGATGGGGGGTGAGCCAAGATCTAGGTCTCGGAGTTTAGAGATGAGTTGTTTTGGAATTACGGTGTTAGAGGTGGAACAGTAGTCAATAAGTAGGAACCTGATGTAGATATCCTTTTTATCCACATGTTCCAGGGATGAGTGTAGGGCCAGGGCAACGGTGTCTGCTGTGGATCTGTTGCACTGGTAGATGAATTGCAAAGGATCATAGCAATTTGGTCGGCTGGAATTCATGGAAAATAACACATGAAAATTCACTAAGACTTGCAAAAAGAAACCCTCTATGAAACTCACCAAAATTGATGCTTATTCAGTTTCTGAAGATTCAGCCCAATACCTCAGTTCAGCTAGTACCAGTGTCTTACACCATTTCATCAGAATTTCCTTGCTATTGTGTTGTATGCCTCTATTGATCTTGAATGCTTTACTGACCACTTTCTCAACCTGCCCTGCTACCTCCACTGATTTGTGTGCACATACCCACAACATTCTTCTGCACCTGCATCTTTAGAATTTTATTCTTTATTTAATATTGTAACACATGGCAAGCACTGCAGACTTATGAGTGGGAGACATATATTGAACTATGTACTGCTAAACATATTATCCACTGTATTTTTGTACAATAGGTTGTTATTCTTTTACAGAATGTTTTGAAACATGTTATGCAATGAACTTCTTGGTTAACAACAGAGGAATTACACTTGCTCTGTTGAGCATAAGCATCATAGTTGGGATGTGAAAATACATATAACCAAGAGTTTTTTTTATATGAGAGAGTAATGTTGTCCCCATGCACACTGAAGCATAAGGGACTACAAAGGTACACTACATTATTGCTACAGAAGAATATAATGTCAAAGTAACTAGCAGAACTGAGCTCCGGACCAGCTAAAAATCTACATTGCCTGACTACATGAAATAATGATAAAAGGGAAAGATAAGGATGGCAACAAATCCTGAGGCAGTCGTCAGAGCAGTGGGCCTTAAGACGTGGTTAGAAATAAAAGGCCCATTTTAAAAATGTGAAGAACCTAATACATTACTAATTGCACAGTTGCCCTGAACATAAGACAAAAATATATGCCACACCATGACCTATGCTCGTCATCATATTTAGAAGACTTTATAAGCCAAAGCTAACCATGAATTTATACTTCTTTTCTTAAAGGATTAATCTAGGAAAGACATTTATTATTCAACAGATTGCATTTTGTATAATCAGATATTTTACTGTTATTAATGCTATTCTAAACTTAGATCAGTGATCTGCAAATTGAGAAGGACTTTAAGAAAAGTAAACAACTTTATTTCTTAAAAAAATACTAAAATATTTTTCATATACACCTATAGCCCCTTTAGAAGCTTAAATGAGGTAGAGTGATATAAAAACGAAGAGAATAATTTTGCAGAAAATGGTTTTTATGCATTGTTCTCAAGATAATGAATATAAATTAGTTTTTTGCTTAAACCCTTTCAGCACATTGAGATTACCTCTGCATTTTCAACTGGAAAACTTAAATCATTTTCCTCCTCCCAAAACTAATCTAGTTTTTGTTTCTAAATAAATAGCGAAATTTCTCTGCAAGTCTTTAAAGCCTTTTGAATGAGGCATTTAATTTGCAATCCAAACTGTCATTTTTATGGCAGTTCTTAACAAGTTTCCTGTACCTATAATAAAACTAAATTTCATGACATTTCCACGTTGATTAAGAAATTTTCAGTGCATCTCACGTGAAAGATTGGAACAAGTAGATTTGGACGACAGACTACAAAATTATTCCAGATGTTGCCTTCTCCAATAAATGTTTATTCCTGCTCTGTTTAAATCAGTTTAAAGTCTTACAGTTCAGAGGAAAGCAGCCACCAAGTCTACTGCTCCCTGAACGACAAAAATATTCAACTTATGCCAAAATGAACAGTTTTCCTCACACAAGACAAGCAAAAGTGGCGTGGCTATAGAAAGACTGGTGATACTACTCAGTCAATAACTGCTGTTGTCCTGAAAGTCCCTATAGAAATCAGCAATGGCAATGAGCAGGATCTGACAGGAAGAACAATACCTGTTCTAGGTTCCAGACATGTGAAGCAAAACAAAGAATTACAGAGAGGGATGTGCAAGTTTACATCAGAAAAAAACATTGGAACAGGTTGGCATTCCGACAAGTCTCAGAAAATTTCATATTAGTCTTTATAAAATTCCACAACTTTGGGCCTTTTCTGGAGATTTCCATGACTTTACTTGGCCTAGAAAATTTTTCATGACCCAAGAGAATCCTGTCAAAGGTTTATTTCTGTATTAGGAGTGTCCTAGAAACTTTTACTGCAACAGTTGATATTTTCAATGCTGCATTAATTTGTGTTGGTGTGAAGGCGAAGATCAATTGCTCATCAAGCTTTCCCCATGCTGTGATACTAGAGCATCATGACTGAATACTTTCCTAACTCTCCCTTCAATCCCCCAACATCACTTCAGGTGTCCCAAGTACTGCAGTGGCTCAGGAAGACAGCTCACCACGACCTTCCCAAGTGCAGTTGGAGATAGGAAATCTATGCCAGCCTAGCTAGTAATGCCCACATTCCTATAAAAGAATGAAAAATGAAAAAAAAACCCAAAGCTTCCCTGCATGTTTATTAGAAAATCTGTTTACAACACATTAGAGAGATTCCATTAAACAGTGTGTAACCAAAATTAGAAATATATATTCACTCTATAACACACTCTATAACAATGGGGTGGCACGGTGGCTCAGTGGTTAGCACTGCTGTCTCACTGCGCCAGGAACCTGGGTTTGATTCCACCCTCGGGCAACTGTCTGTGTGGAGTTTGCACATGCTCCCCGTGTCTGTGTGGGTTTCCTCTGGGTGCTCTGGTTTCCTCCCACAGTCCAAAGATGTGCAGGTTAGGTGGATTGGCCATGCTAAATTGCCCCTAGTGTTCAGGGATGTGTAGATTTGGTGGGTTATAGGGGGATGGGTCTGGGTGGGATGCTTTGAGGATCAGTATGGACTTGTTGGGCTGAAGGGTCTGTGTCCACACTGTAGGGATTCTATGATCTATGATCATACAGCATTAATGAAATTTCAGGTGCAAGTTGATAGACCTGTATCATTCCTACTTTGATGTACTATTTTAGTGCACATGTCCAATTTTCAATAACTTTAGTCAACGTCTACTGTATATTTGAAACATTTTATCATGTCCATATCTGAAGGCTTATTCCATCAGCTGGTTTCAGAAACAGACTGGTTCCTTAAGTGCCCAATCCATAAATTAAATCAATGACTTATAATTAATATGCAAAACTATGTTTTCGCTAATTGAAATTCATTTAAAATATCTGCAATTCTGGAATCACCATATTAAACTGCATATAATGTTCTAAATCAAGTCTACAAAACTTTGGATTCAAAAGCAAACATGCAAATTATCCAAATGAACATTTGTAACACAAAAAAGTCAAAATCAATAACTTTTTAATTTAAAAAAATACACAATAAGTCAAATTTTGACTAAGTGAAAGGTGTTTTAACTATACAATAAAAGGAATCTATATAAAGTGTACTTTTAGCAGGTCAGTAGACTTTTTTTAAGCTCATCTAATTAGCCTAATGGCTGCATTCCAGAGCACTAAACTCTGATGAATCCAAATGCGTATGGTACCGGGCATTGGTAAAGAATTATCAACTGTTCAGTTGGCTTTCATTTGGGACTGTTTTGTGAATCTGTTCCAGCACAGAGAGATAGACACCCATTAGTCAGCTATGAATGACAGTGCATCCTATTCTGTTCTCCGGACTCAAATGTCAGCTTGGTAATAAATGACAATAGTCAGTCTTAATTAGTTAGTCTTAGTTTAAAACAAACAGAATAAATAACTATGTTTACTTTGTTCATAAAGTTTGGCACGTGTTGCAGATTTTAGCTTGAGTATCCTCATACCATAGATCTAGCAAAATGCACATATCTACATTTACCTGTGGAAACAAACTGCATACATAGCAAGGATACATCAAATAACCTGAATGGTAATGGGAAGGTTAAATACTTTTTAAAAGACTAAAAAATTTGAAACGTTTGTGTAGAAAAATAATTTAAACTGTATCAACAATTACATTTTCTGAAATTAAAAATATGAACATCAAAGTTCTTTTCCCAAATGCATGAAAAAAGTCAAAATGGCATAAATATGGAGAAGGGTCATATTGGACTTGAAACATTAACTATATTTCTCTCTGCACAGTTGATGTCAGACCTGCTGATTTTCTTCAGCACTTTCTGTTATTATTTCAGGCTTATGAAGTTTGGCAGTCAGTGTCTGTATGATTGTAAGGACCAAGTCTTCTGTACAGGTTGCCACATGCTGATTTCTTTCAAACAGATTGGTTGATGACCACTTGATTTCAGAAAACATCACCTTCATTATGATTAAAGCATCAGGACTGTCTGCTCCAAAATGACTCTTACTGGAATGTTTCATTCCTTATGAAAGCTGTAGTCTGCACTTGGTGTCCTCTAGATGTAATTTTACAGCACAATACCTTGGACAATGTCTTTTTAACGACAGATGTATTCAGAATAATAAAAACCCAAGGATCAATTATTGAGTTAAATGACAAGCATCGGAGTGCTGTAAGGTCAGCAGCATAGTTCTGCTCATTCGGAGAAATTGCCCCAATGTATGCACGAACCTAGAATAAATATAAAGAAATGAAACACAAAATTACACAAAATATACAGTGCAAAGTCAGGCCTCCTCTCGAGGCTCCTTCTATCTGTCATCATTTAATTAAATTCCTTCTTCCTCACATGATCTTGTGGCTTCCACTCACATGATCTTGTGGCTTCCACTTAGATTTACCAATACCATTCACCTCAACGACTCCCTGCGCTAGTGAATTTCACATTCTTACCATTCGCTGGGTAGATGTTTCTTCTGAAGTTCATACTTTAATCCTCAGTGACTATCTTATATTGATGGTCTCTAGTTATTTTTCTTCACCATCATTTTAAAGAGTCTATTAAGCCTTCTCCTTTCTCTTTTCACAAGGAAAGAGAGTCATTTGTATAGTGATTGATCCACTTGCAATTTGGTTACAGCAGGAGACTCCCATGGGAACAGTTGGAATGCTCTAATGATATCTTCAAAGCATCCCTGAACACCCCCAACAACTCATGGCAGTCACTGGATTGTGACCAATCAAAATGGAAAAGGCTCACAGAAGGATGAACTGATCTTATCGTGGAATTTGGTTGGGAATGCACAGAGGTGACATTAAGGCATCAGAGAGAGCACATACAACTCCAATAACTTATCTACCAAATCTTTCAAGCATCACTTGACGCACATGTGGTAGAATCTGAAGGTCACACAGTGAACTTATTGGGCTGTAATTCACTGAACGATATGTTGTTTAACAGACCGATTTATCTGTATGTTGGATTTGCAGGAAAAGAGTTTCAGAGATTGTTAAGTGTTTTATGCAGATCTATAGATTACCATAAATACCAGTTTCCATCCTTCCTTTCTGAAACCCTTCCGTGTCCAGATGCCAAATCCTTACTTGGGGAAAAACCCAGATTTTTTTTTGTGAATAAATCCACAATCAAATTAACTAGTCACCCAACAAACACTGCTCACCAGGGGCTGTTTGATAAAAAAAAACAAAAAGGGGATAAACAAGAGAAGGGACTAAATCATTGTGCTGTTGGAGGGGAAAATAATGCATACCAGCTACTGACCTACCTATCCTTAAGGCTTTAAGGTTATTGGTAGAACCTCAAAAAAGGGAGTAATCAAGGGAAGGACTAAATCAATACACTGTCAGAGAGGAAGTAATAGACCCCAGCTCCAATGATGCCCACCTCTCTCTGAAAGCTTCAAGGACACTTTTGGACACCATGTGCTTTCTCTCCAGGGCAGACCCCAACTCCCTTTCTTATTATTCAAAATACAGCTCTTTCCATCTTTAATTTAGTAATCCACTGTCAATTAAAACACCAATTACCAACATTGCCCACCAGGGACAGTGTGACAGAACCCAGCTTTTCTTTAATTTTAGAAACTGTTATGGATCAGACCAAACCTCTTCACAAACATCAAGGAGACAGCCAAGATCGTAACTTTTATCTTATTTAAAAGCAAGAGTAAAGTTCCCATCATTGCCAATCATCTATCTCAATGCTACTTTTTCACACTATTGCCCTATCTCTTGAAATCATTAGTATCTAGAAATCTATCAATCTCTGCCTTGAGTATATACAATAATTGAGCTTGCACATCCCTCTGGGGTAGAGAAGTCTAAATACACACCAGTCACTGAGTGAAGAAATTCCTCCTCATCTCTGTCTTAAATGACCTGCCCCTTATTCTAAGACTGTGTTCCCTGATTCTAGTACACTCGTCAGGGAAACATCCTTTCTGCATTGATCCTGCCTAGGCATTTAAGATTTCTATAAATTCATCCATTAATTCCCCTAAATTCTAGCACATATAGGCCAAGTTTCCTCTATCTTTACTCATGGAAAAGTCCTGCCATCTCAAGATTGGTTTGGTGAACCTCCATTACGCTCCCACTATGGTAAAGAGACCAAAACAGCATATAATACTCCAGATGCAGTCTCACCTAATTTCTTGACAACAAAGCGTGACATAGAGTTATACAGCACGGAAACAGACCCTTTGGTCCAACCAGTCCATGCAGTATATAATCCCAAACTAACCTAGTCCCACCTGCCTGCTTCATGGTCCATATCCTGCCAAATTTTTCCTATTCATGTATGCATCTAAGTGTCTTTTAAATATTGTAACTGCCCACATCCACCATTTTCTTTGAAACACGCGAGCCACCCTCTGTGTAAAAAATTTGCCCCTCATGTCTTTTTTAAATCTCTCTCCTCTCACCTTAAAAATATGCCCCCTAGTCTTGAAGTCTCCCATCCTAGGGAAAAGACACCTACCACTAACCCTATCTATACCCCTCATGATTTTATAAATCTCTATAAAGTCACCTCTCAACCTCCTAAGATCCCGTGAAAAAATTCCCAGCCTATCCAGCCTTTCTTTATAACTCAAACTTTCTGTAGCTGTCAACATTCTGGTAAATCTCTAGCTTAATAATATCCTTCCTGTAACTGAGTGACCAGAACTGGACACAGTACTCCAGAAGAGGCCTCACCAATGTCCTGTACAACCCCAACATGACTTCCAAACTTCTATACTCAAAGAACTGAGCAATGATGGCAAGTGTGCTAAATGCCTTTTTAATTACCCTGCCTACCATGACACAAACTTCAAAGAGTTATGTACCTGAACCTCTAGGTCCGCTGTTTTACAATACTACCCAAGGCCCTACCATTAATTGTATAACCCCTTTCTCCCCTGGTCCAGACCCTGCCCACTTAAATCCACGATTCCTCTGACGCTTTGCACCAGTTTCAGACTTTCCAGTTTGCCGGCTCCAGCTGCCTCCTCTTTACCAGTCCCTTCACATGTCCATCCCCCACCAGGATGGTCTCAGGGCTCTCTGCTTCTTCCTGGAGCAAAGGCCTGAACGGCCCCAGCTCACCACCACCCTCCTCTGGTTGGCCAAGCAACTCCTCACCCTGAACAATTTCTCTTTTAACTCCTCTCATTTTCTTCAGGTCAGAGGGGTGGCCATGAGTACCCTCATGGGCCCGAGTTATGCCCGTCTCTTTGTGAGGTACGTGGAACATTCCTTGTTCCTGTCCTATTCTGGCCCCCACCCACAACTTTTTCTCTGATATATCGAGATATCATCAGTGCTGCTTCCCTCTCTCATCCAGAAACGGAAAAGTTCATCGATTTTGCTTCCAATTTCCAACCCGCCCTCACTTTCACCTGGTCTGTCTCTCACTGCTCCCTTCCCTTCCTCAACATCTCTGTTTCCATTTCTGGGGATAGACTGGCCACTAATATCCACTATAAACTCACCGACTCCCACAGCTACCTGGACTATACTTCCTCGCATCCTGCTTCCTGTAAAGCCTCCATCCCATTATCTCAGTTCCTCCGTCTCTGTCGCATATGTTCCAATGAGGCCAACTTCGACAAGACAGCCTCCGAAATGTTCACCTTCTCCAACCGAGGATTCCCCAGCTCCGTTGTTGACAGGGCTCTCAACTGGATCTGACCCATCTCTCGCACTTCTGCCCTCACCCCCTCTCTTCCCTCCCAGAACAGCGATAGGGTCCCCCTTGTCTTTACCTACCATACCACCAGCATCCACATCCAGTAGAACATCAGTCGCCATTTCCGGAACCTCCAGCGAGATGCCACCACCACATATTCCCCTCCCCTCCCTTGTCTGCCTTCCACAGGGACTGTTCCCTCCGGGACATCCTGGTCCACTCTTCCTTCACCCCCAACACCTGCATAGCCCCTTCCCCTGCAACCGCTGAAGGTGTAACACCTGCCCATTTACCTCCTCCATCCCCAGTATCCAAGGGCCCAAACACAGGTGAAGCAGCACTTTACCTGTACTTCACACAATCTAGTCTACTGCATACGCTGCTCACAATATGGTTTCCTCTACATTGGGGAAACAAAGAACACTGCTTCACAGAACACCAACGTTCTGCCTGCAAAAGAGACCCCAAGCTTCCAGTTGTCTGCCACTTTAACACATCACCCTGTCCCTGGCCAACATCTCTGTCTCAGGCTTGCTGCAGTGTTCCAGCAAAGCTCAGCACAAGCTGGAAGAACAACACCTCATTTTCCACTTGGGGATCCTGCAGCCCTCCGGACTCAATATCGAGTTCAATAATTTTCGGACCTGAACTCTTCCACGTCCTAGCCCCTTACCCCATACACTAGCCTACCATTACACAATACCTATTGTTAGCTATTAACTGTCTTCATTAACAGCTATTCACCCTCCTGGCCAGATCGTTATCCACTCCTTTATCTGTCCAACTGTTCTTCTTTCTCATTGGGCTCTATCCCCACCTATTATTTACTCCTTACCCCGTCCCCCCAACCTTGTCTTCTGCATATACACTGACATTTTCCTCGCTACCATCAGTTCTGAGCAACCTTCATAATAGATTCAAGTATTTACCCTACTACTGACATCCAGGCAACAATTGTGCAATTCCTGGATTTCTCCTTCCTTTCTCTCTCAAATTGAGATGTTATGTTTGCAACCTTCCAAACTGCAAACACCTGTTCTGGAACCTAAATAAAAACTGAAAGAACTGCAGATGGTGTAAATCAGGAACAAACACAGAAGTTGCTGAAAAAGCTTAGCGAGTCTGAGGAAGGGTCACCGGACCCGAAACGTTGACTCCGATGTTTTCTTCACAGATGCTGCCAGACCTGCTGAGCTTTTCCTGCAACTTCTGTTTTTGTTCTGGAACCTAAAACAGTTTGAAAGATAATAACCAAAGCATCCACCATCTCTGTTGCCTCTCTCACCCCTCTGCAATTTCAGTCCAGGGAATTTATTAATTTTCAGTTCCATTAATTTGTCCATTACTAATTTTTTACTAATACTAATTTCTTTTAAATCTTGGCCCCTTGGATCGCTATTACTTTTGAGAGATTTCTTAGATTTTCCTGTGAATACATCCATAAATTATTTATTTAGTTTCTATGCCATTTTCTTATTTCCCATTATATAATCTCCTGCCTATAATAGGCTTACATTTGTCTTTGCTAAGCTTTTCCTTTATATATTGCCTTACACGACTCTACAGTCCATTTTCATGTTTCTTGCTAGTTTACATTAATAGTCTATTCTGCTATTCCTTATTGCTTTCTTCGTCCTTCTTTGCTAAATTCTAACATGATGCGAATCCTCAGGCAATTTTTGGCAATTTTACAAGCCGCCACCTTTAAGCAAATTAATTATCTCACTTTTCCTGTGTGTTTTTGCGCCTTGAAGGAATGCATGAATGTAAACCACGTATTGATTATTTAACTGTCAGATATCACTTGTTTATCTTGGTACCTTTTAATGTATCCACCTATCCAGAGTCCGCACAACCTGTCATACATTCAAAATTTCCTTTGTTTGAATTTAAGACCCTAGTTTCAGATTGAACTACGTTGTTTTCAAAATAATAGAGGATTCTGTCTTATTTCTGTTACTCTTTCCTAATTTCTTGAAAAACATTATTAATTAGTCCTCTATCATTGTAAAAAAATGATATAAAGTGACCTGTTATCAAGTTGGCTGCTCAGCACACTGCCCTTGAACACTACGTTGTAAACATTCCAAAAATTAATCTTCCCCAAATCTCCACAGGATTGTTGCTTATTAGATGTCGCATATAGATTGAATTTACCCATGATTACTTCAGTGCTCATGTTACGTGCACCTCTAACTTCCTGGATTATACTGTGGACCACATTATGACTAGTGTTTGGTGGTCTGTAATCACCTCTTATCAATGTTCTCTGCCCCTTGCTGTTTCTCAGTGCCACCCAAATAAACTGTACATCCTGTTCTTCCAACTGAAAGTCCTCTCTCACAAATGTACTGATCCCATTCTTATTAACAGCACTACCCCACCTCCTTTTCCTTTTAGTCTGTCCTTTCTGAACGTTGGATATCCTCAAGTACTGAGACTCCAGCCTTGATTGCCCTTCAGCCAGGTCTCCACAATGGCAACTAAATCACACCTGTTTACTTCTGTTTGTGCTACCAAGTCACCTAACTTGTTGTAAATGTTGCATGTATTCAGATAGTGTCTTTAATTCTACCTTTTCAACATTAGAAACATAGAAAATAGGAGGAGCAAGCCATTTGGCCCTTTGACCCGCTCCAGCATTCAATGTGATAATGGCTTATCATCTAACTCAGTGCCCTGTTCCAGCTGTCTCCCCATATCCTTTGATCCCTTTAACTCCTTCTTGAAAACATTCAATATTTGGCCTCAACTGCTTTCTATGACAGAGAAGTCTATAGGCTCACCACTCTCTGGGTGAAGAAATTTCTCCTCATCTCAATCCTAAATGGCCTACCTCATATCCTTAGACTGTATCCCATGTTTCTGGACTCCCTGGCCATTTGAAACATTCTTTCTACATTACCTTGTCTAGTCCTGTTAGAATTTTATAGATTTCTATGGATCCCACCTCATTCTTCGACATTCCAGTTAATATAATCCTAATTGATCCAATCTCTCTTCATACTTCAGTCCTACCACCCCAGGAATCAATTCAGTAAATCTTTATTGCACTCCCTTCATATTGTGTCAAACTCTATTTGATGTTGGCATTTGTTTCTGCTTCCACTTTTGTTTGCTGTTTTTCTAATCCCATTGCCAGCTTTGTTTTGCATCTATCTGAATTCCCTTTCAAGTTTCCATTTCCCCTAACAAGCTGGTTTAAACGTTTTTCTGAGAACATGAGCAGATCCCCATGTGGGGATATTAGTCCCAGTCCTGCTAAACTGTGACTGTCCTCCTTGTGCAGGATTGGCCTGTCCCAGATGTGAACCAAATATCCCAGAAATCTTCCTACTCTCCAGCCACATGGTAATTTGCTCAAAATTATTATTTCTATACTCATTAGCATGTGGTAGTGAGAACAATCTTGAAGTTACTGCCTTAAAGGTCCTTATGTTCAACCTCTTTCCTTGCTGCCTAAGCTCTGCTTTTGGACCTCATCCCTCTTTTTACCAATGTCATTGGTACCAATGTTATTCATTACGTCTGGGTTGCATTCAACTTCTCCCAAAAAAATTTCTTCAGCTGCTCAGTGACATCCTTGTACCAGGTACTAGGATGCCACATATCATCCTGTAATCAGGTCTAAGGCCAGAAAAATGCCTTCTGCATTCCCCTAACAATTGCATATCCTACCCCAATTACCTTTTAACTCTCATCCACAACCACTCCTCCAAGGCCACATGTACATTTCATAGAATCCCTACAGTGTGGAAACAGGTCCTTCAGCCCAGCAAGTCCACATCGTCCACTCAGACCATCCTACCCAGGCCCATCCCCCTATAACCCACCTAATCTACCTGAACACTATGGGCAATTTAGCAGGGCCAATCCACCCAGCCTGCACATCTTTGGGCTGTGGGAGGAAACCGGAGCACCCAGACATGGGGAGAATACGCAAACTCCACACAGACATATGCCCGAGGGTGGAACTGACTCCGGGTTCCTGGTGCTGTGAGGCAGCAGTACTAACCACTGAGCCACCATGCGGCCCATTTTCCCAAAAAGCTAATCCACAAACTTTCTAGATCCTACATTTCTGAGGAATCACTACCCTCAATAATATCCAAAACGGAAATCCAGTTAGTGAGCAAGATAGACTCACAAGATTCTGGCACTACCTGCCTACTATTGCTAAACAATCCAGTTGTAACTTGTTCCTTTTCTGCCCATTGGCTCCTAACTTGCCCTGTGGCTGTGTAATTCTACATGCCACCCACATAGTTCTCACCTTTGTGGATTCATAATAATTAAATTGATAATATTAACTCAAACAAATCAAAGACTAAATGAATAAAAAATGTCACTAGCTTTGGGAATTAGACAGTATGTTAAGTTGAACAAATGCAATGTCTCTGGTCTATGAAAATGCCACTGTTGCTGGTATTGTAAAATATGTGTTATTTCTTTTAAGGGTAAAACATACTATTGGGTTTATAACTTTCTGTTGATATTCTCTGTCATGGACTTTGTGATTAAATTTCAGCTTTACGCCTTAAAGGTCTGCTTGTGCTTTCTAAGCTTTTCTCCATCCATTCATTTCCAAAAACTCTTAAGTTTCCATGGATGGTAACAAGTTGCTGTCACAAGCTGGACGGAAACTCTAAGAAGGTGCCTGGTGAGGTTGATTATACAATTCCTCAGTAAAATTCCCACGCTTTAATTTCAACTTGTTTCTTTGAGCAAATGAAATATTTTTTGTTACGTAAACCCTCTCAGTTCTCGATATTTTCCCTCACCCCGCTATTTTCTCACATTCAATTTAATAAACGAGGAAAACCCGTTGGCGCGTTTTGTTCCCATCAAGCACCACCCCACCCCAGGAGGGCACACGCCAAGTGCTGTGGGCGCGGGTTTTTCACAGCTGCGGGGCTAGCGTGACACTCACCGTGAGGGGCACAGAGCAGATCACGAAAGTTATCGTCATGATGGCTAAAAGAACCAGGTGGTCCACTTCCTCGGCCTGAGAGCCGCGAACGCTCCTCGTGTTGGACGCCCTGGAGCACCTCCGTGTCCTTTGCCTCCGGTACATGCGGCAGAGGTTGACAATAACCGATACATTGCACAGCAAGATGGAAACGATCAGCACCTTCATGAGGATGGCGTAGGACAGGGAGTAGACGCGGTGCTCAGTCCGCAGCGAGCGGGTGTGCATCATGATGAAGCACCAGGTCCCCGGGCAGTACTGAGTGTGTTTACCGAACTGGAAGAGCGGCAGGGAGCAGAAGATGATGCAGAAGATGTAGATGAGCGGGATGGCCACCAGCCCGGTGTGCCTGCTGGCATGCCGCGAGTAGAAGTAAGGGCAGCCAATGGACAGGCAGCGCTCAAGGGCCATGGCGAACAGGATGAACATGGAGGTGAGCCCGAAGAAAGCCATGGCGAAGGCGCAGTAGTCGCAGAGCCGGAGCTCGATGAGTGAGAGCCCGCGGGCGTAGGCGGTCAGCACCACGGGGCTGATGAGCATGGTCCCCATCAGGTCGGTGACGATCAGGCTGCTCACCAGGATGTGGAAGACGGATACTTGGTTGCGGCGGTCCCTCTTGTGCACCGCCAGCACCACCAGCGCCAACACATTGCCCAGGACGCCGGCGACGAACATGAAGGCGCTGGCTGACGGCCCGGCGCCAGCGATCACCTTCGTACTGTTAGCGCAGCTTTCATTGCGCATGGCGGGCCCGTCCGCTAGAGAGGCACACGCGGGAGAAAAAGGAGCTATCTGTCTCTCTCTTTCTCTCTCTGTTTCTCCTCAATCCGCGGGAAACTCTCTGACAGACCTCCTCGAAAAATCCAACACCGCACCAAACCAGCAGCTTTACCACCCGCCTCAAACTCAGGGACAAACACAGTTCCACTCCTTCCCACCTGAGGGAAAGAGCCACATATGGCTTTGAGACACTCTGTCCCACCCTCACCCCCTCAGTCCCTGCCTGACGTCAGGCTAATACCCCAACCCACCCAAATCCCAACCCACTCCACCTCAGAAAAAGCCTCGGTTATACTGATAACACTGGATGCTCTCTCGGTCTCCCCACCTCCCCACGATTATATTCCACCTTTCTCCCCACCACACACACACCCACACCAGCACGCTACTACCTCTAAGCTCACTCCCCCCGCCCCTCCTGCCAAATCTCCACGGAGCTGACTGTAAGACAGGGCTCGGGAACTCGCAAGTTGAATCTTGCGGCAAGAGGAGCCACTGGAAGTGTGGGAGGGGACAGGATGTGAGTAGTAACCGCTTTCTGAAGAGAAAACAGCCTTTTTTTTTCTTTGGCACCAAACCGTGAAAGGGCAGAATGACATACCTAAAAGATGATTTATACACCTTCAGAAGTATTTCCATGTGCAGTATAAATGCAGTGACGTGAAAACCCAGGGAAATTAAAAAAACACAAGTTTTTCGATTGTAACTGATGAATGTTAAATGTGTGACATTCATCATTGTTTACTGGTCACATTTAACCAGATTTCATAATAGATTGAGTCATTAAGTCAAGTGGCAAAAGACTTACAACGAAGTTTTAAGAAAGCAAAAGCAAATATAGAAATAGAAAACAGTATTAATCACTTCTGAGTTTCTGACGGAGGGTCGCTGAACCCAAAATATGATAACTTTCCACAGATGCTGCTAGGCCTGCTGAGCTTTTCTGCAATTTCTGTTTTTGTTTCTGTTAATCACTGACTTGTCTGAAAGTGTCTGAAGATGATGTGAAGATGTGGGTGTTGGACTGTGGTGGACACAGTCAAAAGTCACACTGCACCAGGTTATTGTCCAACAGGTTTATTTGAAAATGCCAGCTTTCAGAGCTCAGCTCTTTCCTCAGGCATAGTGTGAGACAGAGGGTATAAAACACAGAATTTGTAAGCAGAAAGGTTACAAGCCTAAAACTGGCCACCTCTTGTTGAATCTTTAATCGGTTAGGAAGGAGGCTAATTAATTATTTCAGGACAATGACTTGAGAGGAATTTCAGGACAATGACTTGAGAGGAATCTGGATTTTGCATTTTAATCAGTAGCCGCCTTCCTAACCGATTAAAGATTCAACAAGAGACGGCCAGTTTTAGGGTTGTTACCTTTCTGCTTATAAATTCTGTGTTTTATACCCTCTCTCTCACACTTTGCCTGAGGAAGGAGCTGAGCTCAGAAAGCTTGCATTTTCAAATAAACCTATTGGACTATAACCTACTGTCTGAAGATGCTGCTGCATGAGTGTGACTTTTTCTAAGAGGAACTCTTAGACTCATTGAATTAGTGACCACCTCCGCACCAACAAAAGCCTATGGGAAAGATCTTCTGCAAAAGGAAAGAGGCCATGCTATTGACCACAGAATCACAGAATTGTTACTGCATGGAGGCCGTTCAACCCATTGTATCTGCACCAATTCTGTTACCTAGTGCCAATGTGCTGTCTTTTCTCCATGTCCCTGCACACTCTTCTATCTAAATAATTATCCAATTCCCTTTGAACGCTTGAATTGAACCTGCCTCCACCACATTTCCAGGCAGTGCATTCCATACCCGAACAAGTCGCCATGTGTAAACGTTTTTTTTACACACTCTTGTTTAATTTGCATATCACTTTAAATCTATGCACTTTTTTTTTAATGAACAGGAACAGCTTCTCTCTATCTAACCCCTCATGATTTTGAGAACCTCTTTCAAATCTCTCAGTCTTCTTCTCTCCAGTTCTGACTTCTTCAATCTTCCTCGTAACTGAAGTTTCTCATTCCTGGAACCATTCTTGTAAATCGCTTCTGCATTATCTCCAATTCATTCAAATCTCTCCCCTAATGTGGATGCCACAATTGTGCATCATAGTCCAGCTGAGCTCTAACAAGCGTCTTGTCCAGTTCAACATTATCTTCCTGCTGTTGTACTCTTTGCCTCTATTAATAAATCTGAGAACACTCCATGGTTTATTAACTGCTGTCTTCACATGTCCTGCCACCTTCAATGTTCTATGCATATATACATCCAGATCCCTCTGCTCCTGCGCCCCCTTTAGAATTGTGCTGCCTATTTTATATTAACTTACAATGTTCTTCCTGTCAAAGTGCATCACCTCACACTTCTTTGCATTGAACTTCACCTGCCATCAATCTGCCCACTCCACCAACTTTTGGAGTTCTTCACTGTCCTCCTCACAAATTACAATTCTTCCAAGTTTAGTGTCATCTGCATTGATTCCAAGCCAATGATAGTTACATCCTTTAGATGCAGCCAATATTATTGCTACAGTCAGCAACAGGCACCAAACCAACAGAATCTGTAACTGGTGCCTTGCCGCACCAACCAAACAGCTCTCCAGCTTTTCTTGATCACTCCATGCAAAATGTGGCACCGAATGACATTGAGCACTCATGCGCATGAGATCTGGTCTCAAGACCAGACCAGAGAACAAACTAAAGGTAACCAACAAGACAGTACAACACCACAACACTGGTAGCAAGGAAATTATTAGGAATGTGAATACGAGCAAAAGGTCAAATTTTGGGAGATAACAAAGTTTTTCATATCTTTAACCTCACACAATGTCAATGGTATAAGGTGATCAGAAACTTCTGCAATCATTAATATATGTTCTGAAAAAAAACAGGACAACAGAGTCTGAAATTGACATAGAACATCATGCAAACATTTTTTGTGTACATTCAGGGGATGTGGGCCTTCCTGGATATTATTACCCACCCCTAGTGCCATTAAGAAGGACATATTACCACTCAGAGATAGCAGGAACTGCAGATGCTGGAGAATCTGAGATAACAAGGTGTAGAGCTGGATGAACACAGCAGGCCAGGCAGC